TATCATCCTCAAGCTCAGCTGCATCAGGCCAGGCAACCAAGAGCTTTCTCAAAGACATTAAAACCTGTGTTTGGGTCTCAATGGCTGTGAAATGATTGAAACAAGCATACACCTCTTTTCCAAGACCATAAACAGCTAATGACACTTGGAAAGTCTGACGTATCACAGAAGAAACTGATGTATCTGATGGATTACGTTTTTTTCTGCCAATTTTGACTCTTTTCAAGGGAATTTCTGCATTGTCAGCTGGGCATTTCAATAAATTGGGTTCTGACAAAACTAATTTACACAGTTGGTTAACTTCCAAAACCACCTTAATGGGTAAATAAGGTTGGCCAAATTCCTCATCTCTTTTTAAACTTTGTCAACGACTATTTTATCGCCTGGCTTGACTTCTTTTTGGAAAGGAATTCGGAGAGTTTGCATTACTTGACAACATGGACTCGAGAGAAAGATACCTCTTTGAATACAGCAAAAAATACCCAACCGCCTCCTATGAACAAGCCATAGAAGCATACGAGAAACAACAAGGTAAGCAAGCAATGAATACACGTTTATTGGGAGGATAGTTGAATTGCATTACATGTGTTGGGGTTGGGACATAGAGCAGAGTCGTAGCAAAGGTTAGGTTATATGTAAACCTGTTTGAAAGGAGACAAGAAACAGAGTATGGGTTAAGAGGAACAGTAGAGAGAGAATAATTCGAATGCTGCTGTCGTATGCATTCTATATGGTTGGTCTCCTTGTTATATCCACTTTCCACCTCTGAGGAATGTCAGCAAACTGTCTGTGAGCTAACTAAACTTTTTTCTTTTATCCTAAAGCAAGACATGTCAGTAGGAGCCTAGGGAAAAAGCAGCCTGAAATTGATCTTAACACTTTTGCAATGAAAATGGATGTTGTTGAATATGCATTTGAGCACCAAGACAAACATGACCAAAACAATACTGTCAATGCCTTTCTCAAGTTCTTGCAGGAGGAATGCATTAATCGATGGACGCCCGATTGTAATTATTATTCGCCATATGTGTCAGTAGTACAAGCGAGTGGCATGGGAAAGTCTGCAATGATCAAATTGATTTCTGACAGAGTATTTGTTGTATACTGTTGTTTGAGGAATGTGCAAAAGCAAGAATTAGATCTAGGCTATCCAAAATCGTCCAGCATCACTCCAATCTTGTTGCTTGATCATAAGTTGACAAAAACGTTAGATAATGGGGTTGAAATTTCTGTTCATCCAGAAAACATTCATCTGCAATTTCTGGGTGCTTGTATTAGTATAGATTTGCTGGCCACATCATCATCAGTGACGCCATCAGGATGGTTTGACTTCCAAAAAGATCCTTCCTTTTGGTCACAAATTCATGCATTGATGGAGAAACTGAAGAACGAAATCCCAGAACCTCAGTCTGAAATTGAACTGCAAGACGAAAGGCTCTCATCAGAATTCCTGTCAACTAAATTGCGATATACTTTTACTAGCTACCTATTCAAAACCCTAACCCATACATCCAAGCTCTCTACTTCTCTTTCTAATCACTATCTCTCTTATCAAAATGAGCAATCCTGATATCATTGACCAAGTCCTTGCATACGTTCAAGCTGAAGGCTCTATGACTGCTGAAAAACAGCAAAAAGAGGCCCAAAGACAATGAGAATTGGAATTGCTCCAACTTCAACAAACAATGAAAGAAACTGCCAAACCTTCTGCATTCACATCAGCTTTCAATAAATCTGTGTAACCAACCACATTTTACAGAAAGGTCCCACCTCATCTTTGTTTATGATGAATGTCGTAGTCTTGTCGAGAAAGATATTTTTTTACATGCTCGTCGAGCTTTCAGAGCATTGCCGAGAACGGAATCTTTATCATCTCCATTTGTTATAGTTATGGATACACTCTCACGGATTTCTAATTTTTCTCTGACAAAACGTTATGAACTCTCAACATGTGCTCAATCTCACAGATGCGACTCTTTCCGCCATATTATCTTCTTGACTTTGTTGACATTTTTGTTCCTCAGATATCTCCAAGAACCTTAGGCGAGTTTGCAAAACCTGATCACTGGATGCTTTATGGGCGCCCACTGCGGGGAGCTTTAGTACAGGCACAACAAACCAAAGAAGATCTTAAAAATAAATACCCACTGTTGGATATTTTGCTAATGGCTGCTGGTAAACTCATTGGTGGGGTTGACTTTCGTAATTGGTTTTCGAATTATAAGATAAGAAATGAAAGAGTTACACTCTTGGTTGCTATTGCTGTATTGGGTCAGAGAGTTGCACTCAACATAATACCGCAGTCAGAAATTGCAATGGAATTAGTAGCAAGTGCTATGCAAGTTTGTCTACATATTACAGAAGATCATGGAACTATTCTATCAACATACTTGTCTGAGCCCACTTTAACTGAGGCTGCTGCATATATCATGAACATTGACAATGGGTTACTTGTACCAGATCTGCTGACTATGTTAATCAATAGTATCAAAGAAGG